GCAGTGGTCGCGGGGCCGGCGGAGCCCACGGCCTCGGGCGCGCTCTGGGTGTCAGGCAGGGCGAGCGCAGAGGGAGGACGACGACGTACGTTTCCGGTGGAACACGGCCCGGGCGGCAGGTGGCGCGGTGGTTAAGGTGCTCAACTCCCACGTGGCAGACTGGGTTCAAGTCCCGGACCTGGCCTGGCGGCTTGAAAATCGCAGTGGGTGCGTGTGCGAGCGTGCTGGAAGTCTCCGGAGCAGAATGGAGAGGGGATTGCGGTGTAGCCATGGGGTGGGGGTGATGTCTCACTTTTCCCTTGCCTCTCTCTGGCAAACGAGACAAAACCTAATACAGGAAATACTAGGTACCATCAAATATCCAAACATCTGGATATTCGGATCCCAGAAGGAGAGGAGAGTCAGAAGGGCATTGATAACCTATTCCATGAAATCTTGCAAGGAAACTTTACCAACCTAGAGAGGCACTCATAGATCCAGGCTCAAGAAATACAAAGGACCCCAAAGAGAATCAACCCAAGACCTTCTCCAAGACACATGGTAGCCAGATTGACCAAAACCGCAGAAAGAAGGTATTAAGATTGCCAAGAGAGAACTGGCAAGTTATGTACAAAGGATATCCCATCAGGCTCACAGCGGACCTCTCATCGGAAACATGCCAGCGAGGAAAGAATGGGAAAATACATTCAAAGTGTTAAGGGAAAAGCAAGTTCAGCCAAGAATACTGTACCCGGCAAGAGTATCTTTCATGTGGGAAGAAAAGACTAGAACATTCTCAGATAAAACCTGAAAGAATTTACCAGCACCAGATCAGATCTCCAAGAAGTTCTCAAGGGAGTGCTATGTCAGGAAAATTAAATACAGACGCACAGAAATAAGAGTTCAAAAACTAAGAAAACAGCCAACCTAATTGTAGGGACAAGTCTAGCATTGAATTTTATATCCCAGAATTTAATCAGTAAGATGGAACCACAACAGAAGATAGATTAAGTACATGAAACTGAACTGGTGAAACAGAATTTTATGACTTTTGATTAAACATTGCTGATCTTTTGGGACCCGCAGTTGGCAGAATGGCTATGTCGCTGCACTCCCATGTAGTTGTCCATGGTTTGAGTCCCAGACTCAGTGCTTAACCTCACACTGGGCACGTGTGCATGTGTGCCCAAGAGCCCGGGAGAATAGAAGGATTTTTGCCCTGCCTTGAGCTGCCGATAGGTTCATGCACCTACTATTTGAACAGAATTGTTATCTGTTTCCTTAAGTTTTAAGCAAAGTTTCTTAGCATTTCTCTGATTTATTAAAGCTAAAACTGCTTTTCTTGAAGTTAAAAAATATATTAAAAAATACCTGCTTAATGACCATAGTAAGCCATATGGCATCAGCTAGGTGCTCCTTTGTCATTCATTCTACTCAGTGTTTCATGCGTAAAGTCAGACGTGTGTTCACAGATATGTATATATCAGTTGCACTTGCTATTGAAAGTAGTTGAGTATTTAAGACATTTCGTGAACCAATAAAATGGGGAGAAGGACTGGCAGGAGGCGTGGTGGTTGAGGGCACTGGACTCCCACGTGGCTGACCTTGGTTCAAGTCCTGGACCTGGTGACTTGCTTTCTCACTTTCCTCTTTCTCTTGCTCGCTCTGTCCCTCTCTGGTCAAATTAAAATGAATGAATGAATAAAAAATAAAGTTAAATTTAAAAATAAATAAAATGGGAAATAAAGAAATGGAAAACCCTAACTGTAGACAAAGAGGTAGTGTGGAGGGGGGTGGGAAATGGGGAAATACGTGCGTACATATACGTACATGAAAGTAGAAGTGGGAAATCACTGATGAGAACGTGCATGATTAAGCCACTATGCAGTATATTCTGGATGGGAAATCACATTTTGTATGCTGTGACAATGCTCAGTGAATGAATGTTAATGAATTAAAAATTTTAAAATGTTTTTTAAAAAAGACAGAAAAGAAAGCACAGCCCCCACCTGCAAGATGGCAAAGGCACCCCCTGTGACCCGGTAACGCGGGGCCCTGCAAGACTGGAGGCCGTGTGGCTGGCGCAGGGTCCGGCCCACAGGTCCCAAGTGGCTGGGCACAGGTACCCAAGACACTGACAAGCCTCTGGGCAGGGCAAGGGGCTCATGGCTGACCAGGCCCTGTGGGGGCTTTCTCAGTCTCTCACTCGTGCTCTTTATCATGAAAAGTAACATATCCTACTGTTTTACCAACGCAAGGCGCTGAGGGAGATGTTTAGAGATCCCTTCTAGTGTCCATCTGAGGCAAGGGGAGACCCTGTGTCCCTACAGCAAGCAAAACTCAAGGACACTGTGGCGTCCAGGAAACCAGGGGTGATGACGGGACTGGACACCTCTGAGTGGACAGGGTCCTCTGCAGGAGGGAAGGCTGGTGCAGCCGACTGAGTACAGCCCCAGGCTCGACCCTGAGTACGCGACCTCGCATGGCAAAGGGGACTTGGAGATGTGACTAAATTGAGGACCCAAAGGCAGGGAGATTACCCTGGATCAGCTGGGCAGCCCCGCGAGTAGGGAAGTGGGTCAGTGAGAGAAGGTGGCCTAGTGACCACAGAGGTAGGCAGTGCAGGGTTACAGCCTCAAGCCAGGGAGTGTCTGGAGCCACCGAGAGCCGGAAGGGGCAGGAGGGGCCCTCCTCTGGAGCCTCTGGAGGGAGCAGGGCCTGTACACCTTGACTTCAGCCCAGCGATGCCGACTGGGCTTGTGGCCCGAGAACAGGACCCTAAGCCGCCAAGCCGTGGTGCCTCACTGCAGCGTCCGGGACATGTGGTCCCAGAGGACTCAGGCAGAGCCGCTGCCGTGGAGTGGCTGGTGGCAGTGCAGTCCACCACTCCCAGAGGTGTGCCACTGTCTGTCTGCACCTTACCGGGACCCTCACATGCCAGGTCTTCAAAATGTGTGGAGACGCGCATTAGGAAACAAGTGTGTGGGGTTTCACCTTTTTGGCACCGAAATAAACATACCTTAATTCCACTTTTCCACACTTTCTTTAAGGTCTTGTAGATGATACATTTCACAAAATGCTTAGAAAACTTTTTAAAAAGCCACCATCCATTATCCCCATTTCTTTCTTTCTTTTTTTTTTTAAAAGAATTATTTTATTTAGCTTTGCATATTTATTTATTTTAATTTGGCTAGAGAGGGACAGAAAGAGAGAGAGAGAGAAAGCAAGCCACCAGGTCCAGGCTTTGAACCGTGGTTTGGCTATGTGGGAGTCCAGCGGCCTTAACCACCACACCACCTGCCAGCCCCGATTATCCCCATTTCTGAGGTACAACATGGAGTAGGAAGATTGCAGGGCAGAGGGCCAGCCCCACACGGCTCGTGCCCAGTTCAGATCCCAGACCCACCTCGAGGAACATGCCAGGCACACGTGCACGGGTGTGCAGAATCCCGAAGCGAGGAAGAGATGGAGAAGAGGCTGCAGTGTGACCGTACCCATGGAGTGCTTTTCTCCCCTCTCTGTCAAGCACACGTGCTTGCTGGCAGGGAGAGAAAAAGGTTCCAGGGCAAAAAATCGAGAAGTAACAGGCCGAGCCTTGGAGGTGCAGGCAGCCGTGTGCTGAACTGCTGGGCTGGAGCCTACACAGCTGACATGGCTCAGACCTCCCCACCCCACGTGTCGGCATGTGACCCCAGGAGCCTGACAGACAGGAGGGCTGGAGGGAGCTGCAGCCTGACAGACCCTGCCCAGGTCTCTCACGCCTCCCCGTCTCGCGTGTGTACGTGTGCGCTGTCTCAAATAACATGAACAAATCATTGAAAACGTTAAAAAGAGGCACCAGCAGATGGTGTAATGGACTCCCACATAGTCAACCGTGGTTTGAGTCCTGGACCCGGTGGCTTGAAACACACCAAGTGCATGTGCGGCCCTGCCCAAGATCCCGACAGGAGAACGGGGGAGAAGGGATTGTGGCGTGGTCACCCCCAGGAGCTGAGTTCTCACTCTCTCTCTCCTTCTCTGGCAAGTGCACGTACCCTCCAGCAAAAATCTTAAAACACACACACACACACACACACACAGTGAAAAAGAAACCAAAAGATAGAATTATTTTGTTTCTTTGTGTGTGTGTGTTTTTTTTGGGGGGGTGTAGAGATTTTTGTTTTAGGGTACACGAGCTCACTGGAGAGAGACAGAGACACTGAGAGGGAAAATAAGAAGTCACCCCCTCTTGGGAAGTGGCCACACTACAATCCTTTCTCCTCCATTCTCCTCTTGGGATCTTAGGCACCCATGCACACAGGCCCGGTGTGAGTTTAAGCCACGGGTCCGGCACTCGAACCATGATCAGCCATGTGGGAATCCAGTGGCCTAACTGCTACACCATCTGCTGGCCCAGGGCAGTTGCTTCTGAGTAGCACCAGGCACTGGCCTCTGGCTGAACCGGAGGTCAGCTTCTGCCCTGGTAGAAGGGCTGGGAGACAATGACGTGCCTGCCCCTCACCCCGCCCCTCACCTGGCTCCCGCACCTCCAAGGGCAGAGCGGAGCGGACCTGAGCTCTGGGGCTGCTGCCGCACAGGCAGCACTGGGACTCCCATTGTGCACTGCGGCCCCAGGCTGAGGCTGCACTGCCTGATGGGCAGCGCCAAGGCGAGACCTTGCGGGGTCACATGTTCTAGAAGCCAAATCTTTGTCCATAGGATTCAGTGTTTTTGAGGAAAAGTGTGCAAGAACCCAAGGGTCTGGAAGAAGATGGCACAGGGGCTGGGATCCGTGTACTGGGGCTAGATCTCACATGCCAGCCACAGGCCAGTCCCAGACCACTGGGTCTGCATGCACGTCCAAGCACTGACGGGGAAGAGGAGTGCAGGGGCACGGGCTATTGTACAGCCACCTCCCATCGGGGTTCGCTCTGTCTCTCTGTCTCTGCTGGGCACACGTCCTCTGACAACTTTAACGACGACAGCACAGGGGCCAGCAGGTGGCATAGTGGTTGTGGCACTGGGCTCTCACATGGCCGAACATGGTTCAAGTCCTGGACCCGGTGGCTTGAAATTCATGCTGGGTGTTTGTGTGTGTGCCCAAAATCCCGAGAGGAGAATGGCAGAGAAGGGATTACGGCATGGTCATCCCCTTGGGAGGTGATTCCTCACTTTCTCTCTCTCTCTCTCTGTCTGCAGCGAGCGCACACCTGCCCTATAGCAAAAATCTCTCCAAGAGCACAGACCAAAACATGCCGTTGAAGCGGGAGTGGGTAAAGAGTCAGACCTCACCATGGGAAGGGGCAGGGTTGGCCCAGGCCATGGCCCAGACTTGCCAGGACGGGGCAGAGGGGCAGCTGGCAGGGTGAGCCACCTGCCTGCCCGGGGCCACGGAGGACCTCCTTGTTACCTACCATCAGCACTGGCTACACGCTGTCCAGCACAAGAGTACACAGCAGCGACCAGCCCGATCACTTCACTCGGCTTCGCCCACGCTACTCCGCCAGGTCGATGACCTTTCTGTTTCTAAGGTCTTGGGAGCAGGGTGCATGCGCTCACTGGAGAGAGAGTGAGAAGGGAAGTGAGGAATCATCCCATCGGGGATGACAGGCCGCGATCCCCTCTCCTCCATTCTTCTCCTGGGGATTTTTGGCACACACACACACGTCTGGCACGATTTTCAAGCTGCAGGGTCTGGGACTCGAACAGTGGTGGTCCATGTGGGAGTCCAGTGCCTTCGCCATGCCTCCTGCTGGCCTGGCCAGTGACTTTTTTCATTTCATGTTCATTTTCTCCAGTTTTGCTAAAGGGTGTGTGCACTCACCAGAGAGACAGAAAGTGAGAAGTCACCCTCCAGGGAGATAGCCACACGACAATTCTTCTGTCAGGACTCTGGCCACACACACGCATGTGCCTGGCCTGCAGTGCTCCTCAAGCTGCCAGGTTCAGGACTCAAACCGTGCAGTTGCCCATGTGGGATCTAGCTGCCTTAACGTCTACACCACTGCTGGCCCAGCCAGCGATTTTGAAGGCTCTGGACATGGAGGAGCCCTGATGGGGGCGCAGGGGGGCCGGATCTCGAGCACACATGCATGCTGGGTGTTCTCAGCCTGCCTGGGGCTCTGCTCCCACAGTGGCTGTATGGGTTCGGGTTGCTGCTGGCTGCCCACCAGGTGGGACCACGCATTTATCTGCAAAGGTACTCCCTGGCTCCTTTGTCAAGACAAGCATTATTGGGACCAGCAGATGGCATAATGGTTATGTTCCTGGACTCCCACATGGTCAACCACAGTTCGAGTCTTGGACCCAGTGGCTTGAAATTCATGCTGGCACGTGTGTGTGTGCATGCCCCAAATCCTGAGAGGAGAATGGAGGAGAAGGAATTGCGGTGTGGTCACCCCACCCTGGGGTGGGATGATTTCTCACTTTCTCTCTCTCTGTCTCTCAGGCAAGCACACGTGCCCTATAGCAAAAATCTCTCTCAAAAAAAAAAAAAAAAAGTATTATTGAGCCTATCCTGGACATTTTTCTAGACTCAGTATTTTGAATAAGTAACTCCTCTTTGAGGGCGAGCCCTCTGCCAAGGAGATTTTCTGAAACACGGTAATTTTCCCAGAGGAACCGAGGACAAGGTGATGCACATCTTTTATTTATTTTTGGAGAGGTATTTGCTACAGGGCACGTGCACTTGCCAGAGACAGAAAGCGAGAAATCACCCCCCAGGGGGATGGCCATGCCACAATCCCCTCTCCTCCATTCTCCTCTCGGGATCTTGGGCACGCACACACATGCGCCCGGTGTGAGGTTAAACCACTGGGGCCAGGACTCGAACCACGGTTGACTACATGGGACTCCAGCGACATAGCCATTACACTATATTTTGGTCCCAATAATGCTTTTTTTTTTTTTAAGATAGATTTTTGCTATAGGGCACGTGTGCTTGCCTGAGAGACAGAGAGAGAGAGACAGAAAGCAAGAAATCACCCCTCGGGGCATGGCCACCCCACAATCCCTTCTCCTCCATTTTCCTCTAGGGATTTTGGCCGTGTACGCACATGCACTTGGCATGAGTTTTAAGCCACCGGGTCTGGGACTTGAACCGTGGTTGACTACATGGGAGTTCACTGACATAACTTTTACATCATCTGCTGGTCCCTTAAATACATAATTCTAGAAAGAAAGAAAGAAAGAAAGAAAGAAAGAAAGAAAGAAAGAAAGAAAGAAAGAAAGAAAGAAAGAAAGAAAGAAGAAAGAAAGAACGAACATGTGTTTCAAAAAAGAACCATTTAATTTTATTGATTCATTCATTTATTTTAATTTTACCAGAGAGAGAAAAAGCTACCAGGTCCAGGACTTGAACTGGGGTCAGCCACAGTGGAAGTGTCCAGCACCTTAACCATCACACCACCTGCTGATCTTCAAAAAACATGAATTGTTAACAAACTGAACTCATCTGGGCTTGTTTAATACCACATTGTGACCAAGGAAAGAGACCACGCGTGAGCCCTGTGAAGCCACCCTCTGCACACGGGTGGTGATGCGGTTCCACCTTTGGGCATGGTAAGGACCTCTCTGAGCTCATGCGGCTGCATGAGCACCTCTGATGTTTCACGCAGGCACACACCCAAGTCCGTTTTTCATACCCTCACTTTGGGCTGGCCCATGGCCTGACAGTTAAGAGAACCAGATCCCAGATGGCTGGACCACTGCTTAACCTGCTTTCGAAGCTTGGAAATCACTCTGAACACACGCCCACACGTGTCCCAGACCCCACAGGGTGGAGAGGGAGAAGGGTTGGCCGGACCACCATACCTCAGTTGGTACTTCCTCCAACTCTCTCTCTCTGGCAGTCGATTTAAAAAATAAAAACTTGCTTTCTCTACTCTTTCCAGGAAAAGGGGCCTTCTCACCTAGGTGACACGGCTCAAGAATTAAGCCTGTCATCCACACTGTCACCAGCAGATTTTTTTTTTCTGAATTCTTTTATTTTAATTTGACCAGAGAGGGACAGAGCAAGAGAGAGGAAAGTGAGAAAGCAAGCCACCAGCTCCAGGACTCGAACTGCAGACGGCCATGTGGGAGTCCATTGCCCTTAACAAGCCCCCATCCAGCAGGGTTTAAGAGTCTCCAGCAGGCAAGCAGAGAGTTAGAAGGAGCCAGCCGACAGGTCTCCCAGGAGAAAGCACACGTTACTGTGGAGGCCCGTTTCTTCGACAGCTGAGTTCCCACGGCCCTCCTTCCTGGCCCGGCCGTGGAGGTCTCGGGCTGCTGTCTGCAGAGCTAGACGTGTCTTTGGCATTCTCCTCCCTCAGCTCCTTGCTTGTAGCCCATTTGTACAAAAAAGTGTGGATTGGCAGAAAAATAGTCATATAAATCACTTATTAACCCCAAAACGTAGCAAATGGCATAGCAAAAGCGTTATCAAACCCATCTCGCACACAGGGCACGGGCGGCCGTTCGTAATAAACGCGCCCTGCAGCCTGAACTCGCGCGGGTCCGGGAAGGGCCGCGCCGCGTGGCCCCCGACACCTCGGCGTCCCGGGTCCCGGGTCCCAGGGCGCAGGG